ATATCTTGTTCCTTTTCTAGAGGTTAGAGGTTAAATATTCCATTGTAGCTAGTTTGTATCTTAAAAGCAAATTAAAGGTCTAGTAAATCTTGTATATGTACTGCTAGTGTATTCAATTCCAGTGCGTTGATGAAAAATTCCAGTATGTTTTGCACGTCTTTTTGAGTGTTTATAGAGGGCTAAAAGTGGTCAGAGTCTGGGGTTCTCTTTTGTTACCCTGGTAGCGGGTATAATTCTGCTGCCATGGCTACTGAGGAGTTGTTAGCAGAGTGGAGAAAGCTTCAGTTAACGTCTGAGGAAGAAGGTGTATCAGTTGATATTGATAACTTAAGAGACTGATGAGAAGTTGGAGACAAGTCTGGTGGCATAAATTCTGACCAAACGTTTTATCGCCAGCAAAGCTCTGTTGAAGGTGATGCAGCTAGCGTGGGGTTGAGATCCAAAGTTTGGGGGAATCTATTTCTATTCAATTTCTCCAGGGTGATCGATAGGAATAGAGTGTGGTGCACGGGGCGTGGTTCTTCGAGTATTGTCTTCATCACCACCGGGAGACTACCCGATGCCCTTATTCTTGGGCCTTTGCAAGACATCAGGGAAACCTGCAAAAACCAAGAGATGTGATTAGAGGAAGTCCTTGTGCCGAAAATAGGGGACGAGAGGGGAACTCACCCTTTTACCCGAATTCGCGTCCCACATGGGGAACATTCCCATTGTAAGGGCTCAGCCAATCGCCCCCACAAGAAACTAACCGTTTTTTGATATGACGTAAGATCGATCAAAATAGTCTAGAACATTCTAGAAGCTAAACATCTAGAAGGTTGTACACTTGAAGTCTCGAACCTCTGTCGTGCTTCGACCAAAGCACCCACATGCTAACCAAGGACCCCACCTGTTGGGAGCTAGCTTGTAGGGGCAATGTAGACTTCAAACAAAAATCGGTGGGCAAAATAGTAAAGCAGCAGCCTCAACTTGTATTCGAACACCTGGCTGTGTGGGGAATTGATCCTCTCGCCTGAAGAGGAGTCGCATCAGAACCAGTTTACGGATATGATACTGTCTCCTCAAATCGTCCAAGTCTGCTTGTGTTAAGTGATGTTGTGATATGCACAATCATGATCCTTGGAGTGACGATGGCCCCTCGACCCAGTGCCCATTTTCTCTCAATGGTGTTATGTATCACCTGTCTTTCATCGAGAGGAGGAAGAAAAGCGATGGAAGTAAAAGAGGGAGGTGTCACAAGAGGGTTGATATTGAAAAAGGGGATGAGCGGAAGAAAGATGGGTATGGGACACAAACCCCCCTTAAAAAGGGAAAAGGCCGAAAACCCTCATACTCTCGAACCATTGGAAGAAGAGCTAACTCGACGGCCCACGACCAGCAAAAATGATGTGTCGTTAGGAGCATTCATTGCAAGTGATGCCATCACGCTACTGCCACTCGCACAAGGGGAAAAGCGATGCATATCTCCAGAGCAGCACACGTCACCCAATGCCAAGTTTTATTTCACTTCCCCGAATGGCCCATGAGACAAGGTTAGTCAAGGAAAGTGGGGCCGTTGTTGAGGGAAAGCCACCTGGACGCCACGTATAGATACCATGCAAAACATGTCGATCCCTTCCCCATTCGCAAAGTAGATATGCATTGTGAACTGTGACGTGTCGAGCGCATCGAAAAAAGACGTCAAGTATACTGGGAAGGGAAGTTGATTAGCTGAGCGCATCGTACGGGCACCCCCAATGCGGTTAGAGATGCTAACAAACTCGCTCAGAGAGCGTCTGTTACAATGTTATGAGCGTATCCTAGAGGTTGCCGCACCACTATGCATTGGTAGGAAAAAGATATGGAATGACTTGTTTTGGTCGATAAATCGAGACTAATCAAATTATCACCTCTAACCAAATTATCACCTCCGGTTCTTGTTTTTATCTTTTAATGGTATTATTTATTTTTAATAAAGCTCCCTCCCGGAACTCACGTTTTTTTTTTCTTTTGGCTTCCCTTACTAATCAGTGATTTACCATTCCATAATTGACATTCGAAATAAAGAATTTGAAAAATCTAATTGAAGACAGTAGATCCTCAGTTGGACAACTCAATTTCCTTTGTTCTACATAAGAAACCATTACTTGAAAAAAAAAATTATTAAAAATTTCTTATTATTATTTTGAGCATATCGAAAAAGAAAAATGAGTTGTTTTTTGGGTGGTGGCGACTAAAAATTCCTCCTCCATGCAGGCCATCACTCATCAAGATATAACCACCTCTTTCTTACAGATGCAGCAAGTCTGATTTATATTAAAAAAAAAAAAAAACTAAATTAGGCAATTTCTTAATAATTTGACTTTCAATAATAGTTTTAATTTACGTTGCATTTAATAACAAATATGATTTAACTATTTTTTATACTATAATCAAATTTCAGAAGTTAAAAGAAATTGAAAATTAAAATTTCCTTATTTTTATTACCAGTGAACTAGCTTTAAAAAATCAACAAATAATGTTAGAAATATGTGTATATATATATATCCTACAACAAATAAGTGTTAGAAATATGTTTTTTTTCAGAGAAAACGAAAAGTTATCAGTTAACCAATTAAATTGTTGAAAACAAAAGTTTTAAAATATAATTATCAGCAAAGGAAGTATACACTAAGATTAAGATCTTGTTATCCATTCACAAGATTTAGAGTGATTTCAAATCAATTGTTCTGGCACAAAATAGAATTTGCAAAGCATGTTAGTTTTTTTTACGTAAAAGAAAATACGATTTTCCAAATTAATAAGATTGTTTGTAATATTTCATATTTCAAAAAAAATTATTTATTTAACCTTATCATATTTTAAGTTTATATTAATAAATCGTAATCATGTATAATTTGTGAAATCATTTTTAGCATTTTAAAATCATTTCTCAAACTTTATTGATTTCTATGGTTGATAGAGGAGAAGAGGATGAAATTACTTTATTATCCTTTAACCAAGTGTAGATGCAGCTTTGATGGTATTCGTGAGAACAGGGCAAGGTTGTCACAATGTCCTTCACTTTAAAATCCATTATGCAGACAGCACACCTAGGCAGCAATGTCCCAAAGAGAGACAGTCAAATTCACTTTAATTTCAAAAGTATAAAATATTATATACAAAATTAACGTTCAAGGATCTATTAGATATTTTTAAAAAATAAGACTTCCAAATTCGGAAATAACCAAGAGATTTTAATCAAGAAATTGGAACTACAAAGAGTCGTAAAATCAAAATGTGTTTTGGAAGTGCTTCTACCAATCAGTAAATATTTTATTAAAATATATTTATTGGACAAACTATCTTAGACTCCGCTTGATATTCATTTTGTTTTTAATTTCTATTTTTGAAAATTAAGTTTACAACTACTACTCCAACTTATGTATTTTTTTGTCTTATTATTAGCTTTTTAAAAACGTTTTCAAAATATAAATCAAATTTCCGTTTTTAAAATATAAGTCAAATTTCGAAAACCAAAAAAAATAGTTTCTAAAAATTTATTCTTGTTTTTAAATTTAGCTAAGAATAGAGGGAGAGAAATGGTACTCGGTGTTATTTTGAGTGGATTTTTTCCCCCACTTTGAGAAAGTGGCTGATTTATATTTGTGAGATGGCAACTTGGACAGAAGGTCTTCAGCCAATCCTTTGCTCACACTTCCAATTCCTTCTTCCAAATTTTGCAATTCCTAACACATAAAATAATGCCCACAATATATTATCATTCAAACTAACCATAATGTTCCAAAAGTTACATATATACATACAAGTACAAAATCAAATTTAAAGATTAAAAATAAGATTTAAATCTTATAATGGTTTATGTATCGTTGATTTGCTAACTTTAATTAGAGGGTCAAATCTGACTCACCTCATAAGTCAACCTATCTACATCGAAGTCATCTCGAGTTCCAACCTGCATATGACTTTTGTCGTAAAAAAATGATTTGAAAAACTTAACATTTTAATTTCACATCAATAAAAAATGGTTCAATATACCATCTCAAAGTCTCGTCCATCATAATCATTCGCATCGATATCCCCTGTAGATTACAATCAAAATAATGTCATTTTTTCATTATATCATGTCCTAAATTCTAAAATCCTAATTAAATCGTAAGCTCTAAACCATTTTGATAACTCCAATAACGTATTTCTTCCTTTTTATTTTAGTATATATTTATAAGCTAAATATATGTTATAGTTTTAGTTTGGCCTCTTATTTTTTAAAGGCTTAATTTCATATTTATTATATTTTTAAATTTAAGTTTTTATTTTTCACCAAATATTAAAGTTAGTTGGAAAAATGATGATGTCAAGGTAAAATTACACTTTAATAATTAAGTGATAAAATCACTCTATGTTTTAAATTTAGAAATAGATATACTATTTTTTTTAATGCTAAATAGATATACTACTTCTTCTACTAAAAAAAAGATAGATATACTACTTCTTCATGAAATTTATTACTTACTCATTTTACATGACCTTTTTTTTTTGTTTGAAACATTATCTTATATGACTTACCATGTAATAATTTACTATACCTAAAATTTCTCAACAATACATAAAATTGACCCATTCAAAATTATTACTTTTGAATTCATATATAGTAATTATTTAATATTTAGTTATTGCGAGGACTTAATGAAAAAATTCAATTCAATACAATGACAAAATTAAAACTTTTATTTAACCCAAATATTAAGATGCTTCCTTTAAAGTTTTTTTTTTTTTTTTACAACATGCGGGGTGGAGATCGAACTCACAATCTTTTGGTTGGAGATATATGTCATGTTTTATTTAACGCTTTGCATTCATAAATAGCACGATTTCAATTTTAAAAATAAAATATTTCGAATATAGAAGATCACACCAAATTTATTATTTTCGTAAAAATATAAAAGGAGTAATATATTTAAAAAAAAAAACATAACTCAATCATTTGTTGGATGACTATTTTATTTTTGATGATCTGTTTTTCAAATTTAAGCGTGTAAACATACCGAAAAAATTGTGATCAAATAAATATAATTTTATCACACATTAAAAAAGTAAAAATGGAATAGTTAAGAAATAAAATAAAATTGAGTTTGAGGAATTTTGTAGTTACTGATTTGAGTTGTGGTTGGTTCTCCATTGAGAGACAGGTCCTCAAAACCCATCTCTGAAAGCTGTAAAATTGTTGCAAACTTCTCATCATCTTCTAATTGAGAGCTGCTACCAAATTCTCCATATCCATTTTTCCCAATTCCACTGCGAAGTGATTCTAAAATAGCTTCCTGAAAATACCATCTTTCTCAAATCAACCTAGACATGTTTCTCGTTTCTGCGTTTTTAATAAAGAAAAACGAAACGGTATTTGATAACTATTCATTGATTTTTACTTTTTCTTCTTCTTCAAGATAAAGAAAGAAATTCGATTTCAAAATTTCTGTACAATGTTGAGAACATTCCTGAATAAAAGAGAAACAAGAAAAATAAATATTTTTCAAATATTACTTAGTTTCTCAATAAACCTGGAAACAAGAAATAAAGAACCCGTTTGGTAACGTTTCCGTTTTTTGTTTCCTGTTTCCAATTTTCTTAAGAAATCTAAGTATTTTACAACTAACTTTGGACTCGTTTGGTAACGTTCTTGTTTTTTTATTTTTAATGAAGAAAAATGTATTGCATGGTTCCAACCTCTAAGAATTCAAGTATGATAACGATATATTTATTTATGTTTTGGAACAAATTGGAAATATGAAAAATGAGAAACTAGTTTTGGTTGTTTCCAAAATTAAGTTAATTGAAAAATACTTAGATTTCTTAAGAAAATTGGAAACGAGAATGTTAGCAAACGAGCCATTTGTTTCTTGTTTCTCCTTTTTTGGGAACATTCTCACAATTGTATAGAAATTTTGGATAACAATCAAAACAAGTTTCTCTCGTTCCCAAAACCAATTTGTTACAAAACATAAATAAAAACATTGTTTATTCATACTTGAATTATTATTGAAGGTTGAAACCACAAAACATATTTTTTCTTCATTAAAAATAAAGAAACATAAACAAGAAATTACCAAACAAGTCCAAATAATAAGAGACAAACTTTTGGACATATTTTGTAACATTTTCGTTTCTTGATTCTAGTTTCATTGAGAAACCTAAGCCTTTAACAACTAGTTAGGTCTATTGTTTCTTGTATTTTAGAAACGCTTCCAAAATTGTATACAAAACTTGAAAACAACTAAATCAAGTTTCTTGTTTGTAATTTTTTTTCCAAACATAAATAACAATATTGTTTTATCATTACTGACTTATATAAACAACTCGAACTAATTACCAAATCCAATTATATTTTTTTTAACTAAAATTACTTTAGTTTTCATCGACTTAATTTTGTATTGAAATTTTGGGGTAAGATTTAATTTCAAAACCATTTTTCTAAAGTGTATAAAAACAAAAGCTCAATTTAGAACCCCATGAAATTCAAAACGATTATTATAATTTGCAAAGACTTTTTATTTTCAATTTCAAGACATAAATTATTTATTTCATGCAATAAAAATCACAGAAAAAGAAAAAAAAAAGATGAAAAATTGAACCTGCTCCTCTATAGACGTATCTTCAATATTGCCATATTGTTGTGGATCATCCATGCTTACGTGTCACTCTCAACAAATCAAATTTAGAGGACTCCTAAGTTATGGGTTTCTGAGACCATTTCATTTATATATTGGGGACCTTTAATAAGGACTTCATTTTTCACATGCAAATAGATTTAAGAGAGGGGATAACAAAATTATTATTTCAAATATTATTAAATGCAAATATTATTGACTTTAAATATTATATTTATTTAGCGTTCTCTAAAGTAAATATTATATTCTCTATAAATACCCAAATATTCTACTTCATATTTTAAATAATCCTTTTTTGAATCTACTTCATATTTTCCTTCTTAAATCCATTTCCATGCTCAAAGCAGCTTCTTAATATTAGAGGTGTCCAATATAACAAAAAAGAATGGACCAGCCAACCAATATCGAATCGAAGGTGGTCGGTCGATTTTGGGGCTACATTAATCGGTTGTCGGTTTTACATATGTAAAAGCGAGTCGGTAGGCCCATAAAAAGCTATAGGAAACCAATTGACCAACCAACCGTATGTAAAAAAAAATATAAAAATAAATTTATTTTCGCTCCCAAATTTTGAAGCTCTCAATTTTAGTTTATCGAGCTCCCAAACCTCTCAGTCTCGCACCATCTCTCTCAAGTTTCATCACCCTTTCACGATTTCCTTTTTTTTTCCATAGTACAACTTCTTAGTTAAAGATGTAGGCTAATTACCACTAAGCTATGTTTGYTTTGGCTCACGATTTCCTTTTTTATTTCTCACAGCCGATTCTTTTCCTCTCAGTAGTCTATTTGTCCTCTTTCTTCATCATTYCTTACGAAAAATAAACCTGACGAAGTAAAACTAAAAAATAAATGTCGATTTAATTTGAAACAGAATTTGAATAGATTGTCRGTTTGACGACTAGGTACTCATTAGTAAGTAGCTATCTTTCTAATTATCATAAATAAAAAATTGACAGTTATTTATTATGTTTTCTCAATTGGGGGATCAAACTCACACCCTCATGGTTGGAGATATATGTCAATTACCGCTAAACTATGCTCTCAGCTCAAACCTTTTAGTTGATGATATATATTCAAACCAGTTGATCTAAGCTCAATTTATTAATAGATCTTCTAGCCGTTAACAGAAGCTAAGCACTTAAAAAGTACGCCAAAAAACATTATGGTTCTTCAAATTTCRTTCGAAAAAATTCAAATGCAGCAATTAGTTGCTGCTAACCTATGGGGACCAGCCTATAAACCATCACGAAATGGGTTCAAATACTATATAAGTTTTGTGGATGGTTATTCTAGACATACTTGGGTTTACTTTCTCACTTCTAAATCAGAAGACTTTAATGCCTTTTGTTTAAAGTCCATGTTGAAAAATTACTTGGTTGTCCTATTATACGTCTTCAAACAGATGGCGGTAGTGAATYTAGTCCATTCATTCCCTATCTTAAATCCATGGCATCTCTCATCGTATTACTTGCTCTTATACATCCCAACAGAATGGCTTAGTAGAACRAAAACACCGTCAAATTGTGGATATGGGTCTTACACTCTTATCCCAAGCCTCTCTATCTCTTGATTTTGACACTTTCTCTATAGCTGTATATTTAACAAATCGATTACCAAGTATAGATCTTCAAGGAATTTCTCTCATGGAAAAGTTGTTCACAATGAAACCTGACTACTCTATTCTCAAAATATTTGATTGTCTTTGCTTCCCCTCTCTACGCTCCTACAATAATCACAAAATTGATCCTAGATCCACACCTTGTCTATTTCTTGGATATAGCAACCAACACAAAGGATATAAAAGTCTGGCATCTTCAGGACGTTTATATATATCAAGACATGTTCTCTTTGATGAACAAAACTTTCCATCATCTAAACATTTCCAACTATCTAACCCACCGGCCACCTCCTCCCAAATACTTACATCTCTTCCACGGTACAAAACTACACCATACACCTCCTCCATTCCTATAACTTCATAACAAACTAATACCTTGATTCCAGTCATCCAAACTGACACCCCACATTCTCCTACAAATCAGCCTAATGAACCAAATAGACCTACTGACCAGTGTGATGTACCTTGTGTACTTGGTTATGTACCCTGTATATCAAATTCATCAACTACACCTACTGACTATGAGGTTGCTCCAGTTACTGATGTAATACCAGTGAACAGTCATCCTATGAAAACTCGTGCAAAGAATGTGATTTATAAGCCCAAAGTATTTCTTACTGATTTTGTTGACAGAGAACCAACAAATGTCCAGGATGCTTTAAAATGTCCTCATTTGGTTCAGGCAATGACAGATGAGTACACTGCCTTAATGAAAAAATATACATGGGTTCTAGTTCCCCTCCCAATGACAAAAAGATCATTGGTGTAAGTGGGTGTTCAAGATAAAAAGAAATTCGGATGGATCGATATCTCACTACAAGGYGCGACTAGTTGCAAAAACGATTCCACYAGGAAGCAGATCTTGATTATTCATTTGCTTCATGCTACATTTGCATTGAAAGACCTTGGTCAACTTAGCTACTTTCTCGAAGTAGAAGTTTCGTACCCAAAGACTGGAGAGATATTTCTTTCCTAGTCAAAATACRTTAGTGATATACTTGTCAAAACAAAAATGGATACAATAAATGCTATCTCAACCCCTATGCTTAGTGGAACTATACCTTCAGCGTTCCAAGGAGAAGTATTTCCTGACTTACATCTCTATAGGAGTACAGTCGGTGCCCTTCAATATGTGACGATTGCCCGACCAGAGATTGCCTACAGTGTAAACAAACTATGCCAATTTATGCGGGCTCCAAAGCTTGTTCACTGGCAAGCGGTTAAAAAGCTCCTACACTACCTCAGAGGTACAATTGACGATGGACTACTGCTGTCTAAACCCAAGGATCTGCAGCTCCAATCCTATGTAGATGCAGACTGGGCCTCTGACCCAGATGACCGCAAATCCACCTCTGGGTGTGTGTTTTTCTTGAATCCAATCTCATCACATGGTGTTCTTGAAATGATTTCATTTCGAGGTCTAGCACGGAAGCTGAATATCGGAGTCTTGCACACGTTACAGCTGAATTGATATGGCTATAGACTTTATGTTCAGAACTTGGTATCCCGCTACAGCAGAAACCAATTATTTGGTGTGATAACCTTGGAGCAGTTCATCTTAGTGCAAACCCGGTTCTACATTCTCGAACCAGACATGTCGAAATTGAMGTTTACTTTGTTCATCCTGTTTAGCAGAAAGACGGACATTCCTTGCTCATTATCAGACAATCACTTATTCACAAACCTCGTGTGGGGCTAATAGTTTYCATTTCCCATCTCATGGAAAACCCTTTTCGCTCCGCTTAGACCTATCCCCCTCTATGGGTATTTTAGTGATAGGTTCTATAGGAA